AATACACGGCGTCGTTTCTGGCAATCTGCGACCAAATAAGAGGGATCAGCGAGGACGAGAAAATTGATCGCTACGTGGGTGGACTCAAGCCGGAGATTCAGCAAGAAATTGTCCTGCGAGCCCCGATGACCTTCAATGAAATTGTTCGCATGGCAGATGCGCTAGACACGCGACGTGGACTCGCGAGAGCGGGTTTCCGGGAGGGAAATTGTTTTCGAGGCCAGCCCCAACACACATCAATCAACGGCGTGGACGTGTTTGCAGCCCGAGTATTTTCGGGGAACTGCTTCCACTGCAACCAGCCTGGTCACATGGTGAGGGACTGCCCGCAGCTGAAGAAGAAATTACCTAACGACAAGAAGCAGTCGGGAAATGGAGATCGTCAGTAGCAGATGGGCCACCTACTGATTTGACTGCGTTGCCCAAACGCCACCACCCCCACCAGGTTATAGTGCCGATTTGGGCTATCGACCATTCCTGGCTAAATAAGGGGGGTGAACCAGTTGATCACCCTGTGCTGGTCGAAGGGAGAGTTGGAGACACCCGCATCAAAATATTCGTTGATGGCGGGGCGAGCCACAGTTTGATGGACGTGACGAAGGCGAAAAAATTGCGACTGCAGCTGGAGTGCTGCATGCCTGAAATCGACGCGCGATTGGTCGACGGCACACCCCTGGCAATTCGGGAACGAGTACCTCATGTGCGGGTCACCTGTGGCGAAAATTTCAGTTTCACGACGAAGATGTTGGCAACAACTTTGGACGGCTGCGACAGGCTGCTGGGACGCGATTGGCTGCACGAATACAACCTGAGCAACGATTGGCGGACGGGCGATTGTCGCATAAAATGGAGTGGCGAGTGGCGACGAGTACCCAAGTGGAGCTGTCAAGATTCGACCACATCAATGGTTAGCACGGTGACGATCAAACGAGCCATGATTCGAGGGGCCCAACTATACGCCGTCCGATGGCTCGCATCCACGGCTATCAACAGACATCGATAAACTCTGCGCAGCTGTTTCGGATGATTTGGCAATACTGATTCGCAAGCACGCCGACATTTTTCCAGGTGACATTTACTGATTCGGCGCCAGCTGGACTACCTACTCGAGAAAGGATTCGTTCGGCCAAGCACTTCACCTTTCGCAGCACCGATCCTATTCACCCCGAAGAAAGACGGCGGTTTACGAATGTGTATTGACTACCGCGCCTTGAACCGAGTTACCATCAAGTCTCGCTATCCTATCCCGCGTGCCGACGAACTCATCGACCAACTTCACGAAGCCAAGTTCTTTTCGAAAATTGACCTGCGAGACGGTTACCATCAGATCCGCATAAACGAAGCTGGCTGCTACAAAACGGCGTTCCGCACCTGGTACGGGAGCTACGAGTACACGGTTATGCCCTTTGGCTTAACAAATGTGCCTTCGACGTTCCAGTTAACCATGTACGAAGTTTTTCGGCCGATGTTGGATAAATGCGTCATCGTGTATCTTGACGACATCTTGATCTACAGCACTACCCGAGAGCAGCATTTAAAGGATTTGGCCGTAGTTTTCTCTCTCTTGCAGCAGAACCGACTCATCACCAAGGGCTCTTAGTACGAGTTTCTCAAGCAGGAACTGGAGTTCCTAGGACACGTCATTTCCATAAACGGTGTTAAAATCGACCCAAAGAAAATTGTGACCATCAAAGACTGGAAGCCGCCGGCTCATCTCCGCGAACTTCAAAGTTTTCTGAGGTTTGTGAATTACGTCTGTCGGTTCATTCCCAACATGGCGAGGGTAATTTCCCCTCTTACAGATCTTCTGCAGAAAGGCAAGTTTTATGAGTGGGGGGGAGAGCAGCAAGTTGCGTTTGAACAGCTAAAACTTTTCCTGACTACACCTCCAATTCTTCGGATTGCAGACCCTCACCATCCGTTCAAGCTCATCACCGATGCTAGCAATCTGGCCGTTGGCGCAGTACTGTTACAAGACTTTGGCGAAGGCCTTCAACCCATCGCCTACGAGTCACGAAAGCTGAACCCGGCCGCGCGAAATTATCCTGTCCACGACAAGGAGTTACTCGCCATCGTTCACGCTTTCAAAGTCTGGCGCTGCTACCTGACGGGCGCTGACGTGACAGTCCGAACAGACCACAAATCCCTACAGTTCATCCGCGCCCAACTGACACTGAATCCCCGACAGATTCGCTGGCTCAATGACCTCGAGTCAAATTTCCACTACAGGGTCACCTACAAACAGGGGGTTAGCAACATCGCCGACGCACTGACCCGCCCTTCAGTCCATACCGCCGCAGTCCTAATTACCCAAGCTAATTTGCTGCTAACTGGTCTATTCACCCACGGATACAGTACCGATCTATTCTTCACCACTAACAGTCATCCCCAACTGACGATCAAGCAAAATCCGGTACCAATCGGATTTGGGTTCCCGCCTACCGTACTCTACGCGAGCTACTGATACAGGAGGCACACGACTCGAATTTCTCGGGTCACTACGGCATCGACAAAACTGCCAAATTACTGAGTCGTAATTATTACTGGCCTGACTTGCCGACAGACGTACAGCATTACGTCACCTCCTGTGCCACGTGTCAACGCATGAAGACGTCACGACTCCGACCTGCGGGATTGCTGCAGCCGCTCGAGCCACCCAGCCGACCCTGGCAACAAGTGACGATGTATTTCGTCACTGGCTTGCCAGCTGGTCCAAGCGGTAACGACGCGATTTTAGTCGTCGTTGACCGGTTGACCAAGATGGCCCACTTCGCCGCCTGCAAGACGGCAATTACTGCCGAGCAGATAGCGAAGCTGTTCCTCATGAACATCGAGCGACTACATGGCATTCCTTCGGCAATCATCTGCGATCTCGACCCTCGGTTCACGTCCAACTTCTGGACAAAAACCTGGCAGCGGTACAGCACACGTCTGCATCTGTCCACGGCATACCACCCACAATCAGACAGTCAGACTGAGCGCACCAATCAGACGATGGAGCAGTTGATTCGCACAACGTGCACAGACCCGGCCCAATAGGAAGACTCCCTTCCCCTGATCGAGTTTGCGTACAACAACACCCCTCAGCCACGACTACTGAGTCCCCGTTCTTCCTCAATTATGGGATAGACCCAACAACTCCTCTATTGCCATCAATAGAAAATCTGGCACCAAGATCTCAGCAGTTCGTCGAAAATCTCCGACAGTCTCAGCAAAAAGCCGTCGATGCTATCCTAAAAGCCAACCAGAGGGCTAAGCAGCAAGCGGACCGACGACGCCGTGACTTAACATTTGCCCCTGGGCAATTGGTCCTGCTCGACACCAGAAATTTGGGAATACCCCTCCGAAATAAACTACGACCAATATTTTGTGGCCCATTCTACATCATCCGCATGGTGACACCAGTCACCGCCCAGCCGCAACTGCCGGTCGACTGGCGAATTCATGATTCCTCTCACGCCAGTCTCCTGCGACCGTTCGTCCCGAGTACGACTAATCTCGACCGTCAACACATCAATCCTGCGGTCAACCCAGTACCCGAGCCAACAATCGAACCGTCCAAGATTCTTGCTCATCGCATACGAGGTTATCGCGACACAGCAATCGTTGATTTCCTTGTAAGATGGGTCGATCGTACGACTGACGACGACCTTTGGGTTCCCGCAGTTATGCTCGGCGAACACAAAGTCGTCCGGGACTATTTACACCGACGACGTGTCCCCGATGTGGGTAGTCTCATCCCAGAAGGGGGGGTGGTGTAAGGAAATTCCCTTTTCCTTACAGGACCCAGCTACAACGCGTACGCCCTCGACTATCGGAAGTCCATTTCTCGGCCAACTTCTTCGGTCCCGAACCAGTTCGCGAACCCGTTCGTGAACCCAAACCTAGCCGCACAGCGCTTCCGTGGCTTTCGCCAACCGAATCGCCCCAACCTATTCGCGTGGTTCTCGGCTAGCTTTGTTCGTGCCTATTAAAGCCTTGACATTCATTTGTATTGAGACTCTTGAATCACGACTCCTTTATTACACTACCTGTTATTACTCTGATTAATTTATAACATTCACACAATCTTGTAACACATTCCTGCAGATTTACAAGCTTGTCAGAACCATGTGCTGTGGTGCCATACTTCCAGGTTTGGTGTCCCGTCGGCGGTTCGGGTTCGGACAACAGAGTGGTCAGGAAAATGTCGGCGCATTGAGGGCGCGGCGATAAAGCGAAAATCATGATTCTCTTTTTGAAACTCGAACGCTGCGAGGCATCACACGACCATCGCCTCTAGAAGTATTATTGTTTTCGCTATGGTTTGACGAGCAGACGAACATAGCACCTTGTGAAAAAATCGAAGTGGCCTTACGAACCAAGGGCAAAGCACCGCGCCCTGAGCCAGCTTTTGACCGTACGGCTGGGAACGACACCTCTCCCGGGGCGCCCCTACAAAAAACTCTGCGCCCTACACCAAGCCCCGAATTTATCGCGACGCCCCTGCCGCTCCCGCTGTCAAATCAGAGGGGCCCCCTCCCTGTTCAGTTCCCTTCCCACCCCCGATTTTCCCTAGGTCCCCCCGCTTCGCCTCACCACCACCCACCAACCCAGCCCAGACCCCGCTGACCCGCCACCCCACCAGCCGAGGTTATTTCCGTTGCGACGCGACTTCAAAGTTACTGTTCCCCTGCCCGACACTTTTGAGCCTGGGTCTTCTTCCTCCACCTTCCTCCCTCCCTCGCTTCCACGATCCCGACAAATCCCCCTTCCCGCCTTCCTCCAAACCAATCGGGGCTTATTTTTGGCAGGTGTCATTGTGAAATAAAATGTCATCCAACAAAGTTGATAACTAATTGCATGCTTCAAAGTTAAAACAATAACGCACGTGATTGGTTTCCAGATTTATCGGATAACACTGACAGGAATGACACCATTTTGGGAATACACCTTTAGCCCAGACCAATCAGCCCAAGCCTGCCTAACTTGCCTCCTTTCGCAAGAAAGCCCACCTCGGCCTCTGTAGAGCAGACATGTCAGAGCCGATGGGAGGTGTCAGAGGGAGAAAAGTATGGCCACCCTTGGAAGCTGATTGGACGGATGGGGGGAAACAGATGATTGCGGCTGGTGAAGTGCGTCGAAATTCCGCCGACATCTAGTGTAGGCTATATCTGTGCAGAGAAAAGGTCTAGGTGAATAACAGCGTGGAAGGCGGTCCAGCAGCGGAAGGGACGAAATTTACGCCTCGGAGGTCTTCGGTTATGGCCACTGCCTGCTCAGAATCCAGTTAGGGCTGTAGTTAACCGCATTTAGGCCCTTCGCTCCCCGTCGTCTCGCGGTTGCGATTACCGAATTTCACCAGCTCGCTGGCTGACGTCTCTCCGTCGTCTCGCCGTGTTGAACGGGACTCGCCTGCGGACTGGACTCGACTGGCGGTGGCTAGCGCAGACTATCGAGGTAGTACGGTACTACTACGAGTAGCAGGAGCCTAAGCTGGTAGTAGTTAATCGCCGTCCATTGTAGCAAGCGCCGTCGATGGCCACCTATTAGAACACACGTTCGCATCGCCGGCTGACCGCAGTAGTAGGCACATCAGCTTCCGTCTACCGCCGCGGCCAGGATCAACTTCTACCTACGCCGCCGCTGCCGTCGTCTACGCAAGTTCCGCAGTATGACCGCATCCGATGCGTGGCATACACGCGATGTCACGCACCCGACCATGTCGTTCACACACGCTGCCACGCCCCTACTAGGCAAGCGGAAGCCTCAGAGCAGTCATCCCGAGCGGCACCGCCTGCTGCTGTGGCTGCTGGCACCGCTGCTCGTCGTCGCAGCGACGGTCGCCGGGCTGTCGCACTGGAGCTGCTCGTGCGACAGGAGCGACCTCACGGTGCTCAACGGCCGCGCGCTGCTCAAAGCGTCGCAGAAGATCGCAGAGCTCTGGAAGGCGAGCGGCGAGAAGGGCGACCTGAGCGGGTATCTGGCAGTGGGTAGTAGCGAGGACGCGTATGTCGGGGACGGAGTTGGGTCGGGCGAGGTGGATCCGTGGCGGTGCGAGGACGGCGGCGGGGGGTGGGGCGATTGCGGTGGTGCGGCTGCTGTGATGCTCGCTGAGGTACGCCGCGTGATGCAGGCGCCGTGCCATGGCATGGCATGGCATGGCATGGCATGGCCTTGTGCCGTGCTGTGTGTGCATTCTCACAAGGGCTTGTGCCGTGAAGTGCGCGCATACTTACAAGGGCTTATGCCATGCCCTTATCCCTCATACTTCTCAATCTCCCCTACCTTCTTTCCCTCCCTCCCCCTCCCCCCCCCCCCCCGCCCCCCTCCCTCCCTCCCTCTCCCCCCACCACCCCCCCCCCAGGGCTCCCTGTCCGCGCGCGTGCGCGCGGTGTGTGCGGCGTACGCAGTGACGGCTCTCACCAGCATGCCCATCCTCTCCCTCTGGCCCTCCGACCGCCACATGCCCTCCACGCGCTTCTCGCACCTCTTCTCCGCGTCGTCCCCTCCCACCAACGCCAGCAGCAGCACCAGCAGCAGCAGCAGCAGCAGCAGGGGGGACGCGGACGGGCGGGGAGTGAGCGGGGGGAAGGGCGGGGTGTGGGTGAGGGATCTACCGGTGGCCAGTGAGAGGGTGCGGCGGCAGCTCGCCTCGGGGCTATCTCGGAAGGTGAGGACTTGGGGTCCCGGGATAGCTTCCGCTCCTCTAAACACGGGATAGCTTCCACTTGTTTAGAGGAGCGGCATGCGGCATGCCAGTGGGCAGTGAGAGGGTGCGGCGGCAGCTCGCCTCGGGGTTGTCTGGGAAGGTGAGGGGCGCGCATGGTGTTGTGTGACATTGTAACGAGGTGACTTTTGAGTCGGCTCAAGAGTCACATTGTACCAGCGGCCAGTGCGAGGGTGCGGCGGCCTCACGGCTGTCTCGGAAGGTGAGTGAGCGGTGGAGGGCTGCCTCAGGGCGCGGATGACTTGGGTCTCGTGTTTAGAGGAGAGGCGCGCCAGTAGTCGCTGGTCGAAACGGTGGCACAGGAATGCCAAGCCAAGGTGGGCACAAGCGAGCCATGTGTGAGGGCACGCAACCAGCGTGAGATGTCACTCTGGTTCGCCATGCCCCCTCTCCCCGATTCCATGTCCCCATGGCCCAGTCCCCATGGCCCAGTCCCCATGTCCCCATGCGCCCATGCACCCATGTGCCCATGCACCCATGCACCCATGCACCCGTGCACCCATGCGCCCATGTCCCCATGTCCCCAAGTCCCCATGAGCCCGTGTCCCCATGCCCCCATGTCCCCGTGTCCCCAAGTCCCCATGCGCCCATGCACCCATGCGCCCATGCACCCATGCACCCATGCACCCATGCGCCCATGCACCCATGCACCCATGCACCCATGCGCCCATGTCCCCATGTCCCCATGCACCCGTCCGCCCATGTCCCCATGTCCCCATGTCCCCATGTCCCCATGTCCCCATGCCCCCGTGCCCCCATGCCCCCATATCCCCATGTCCCCATGCGCCCATGCGCCCATCCCTAGACCGCAGCTCCGCTTCTCGTCTTCCTGCCACGGCCACGTCATCTCTGCATCTCCCTCTGCGACTCTGGCCGCGTCCCTCGCCTCCCTCCACCGCCTAGTTTTGAGGCGCCTCAAAACTAGTCCCTCGCCTCCCTCCACCGCCTAGTTTTGAGGCGCCTCAAAACTAGTCCCTCGCCTCCCTCCACCGCCTAGTTTTGAGGCGCCTCAAAACTAGTCCCTCCGCCTCCCTCCGCCGCCTAGTTTTGAGGCGCCTCAAAACTAGTCCCTCGCCTCCCTCCACCGCCTCTCTCTCCGTCCACCCGTCCCCAGCTGCTGCTTCAGGAGTCTATTCTTGAGGCGCCTCAAATATACGCTCCCTCCACCACCACCTCTGCATCTCCCTCTGCCACTCTGACCGCGTCTCTCTCCTCCCTCCACCGCCCCTCTCTCCATCCACGCGTCCCCAGCTGCTGCTGAAGCGTGCACGGCGTCCAAGGCAACCACGCAGGAGCTTCTCCCCTACGACCTCTTTCTCGCTCCCTACCCTGCTGCTGCCGCTGCTGCTGAAGCCGTGCACGGCGTCTAGTTTTGAGGCGCCTCAAAACTGAATCGCCTCTCTCTCGATCCACCCACGCGTCCCCAGGTGCTGCTGAAGCGTGCACGGCATCTAGTTTTGAGGCGCCTCAAAACTGAATCGCCTCTCTCTCGATCCACCCACGCGTCCCCAGGTGCTGCTGAGGCCGTGCGCGGCGTCCAAGGCAACCACGCAGGAGCTCCTCCCCTACGACCTCTTCCTCGCGCCCCACCGTGCTGCTGCCGCCGCTGCTGCTGAAGCAGCAGCAGCAGCGGGGGAGGGCGCGAGCGCGTTGCTACGGGGGCCTTCAGGGGCGGGGTCGGTGGCGGCAGTGGTGGTGGATGCGTGTGCGTTTGAGCGCCGGGTGGACGAGTGCCTTGGGCTGCTGGAGCCGTCTCCGTTTGTAGCATCGCTCGTTCTCAAAGAGGATGTGCACACCATCGCCAACTCTACCGCCTTCTATGTTGATGTGAGCGCACGTGTGTACAAGTACAGTAGGTGTTGGTGTTGGCGCCTTACCTTGCCCTACCTTGCCCTTCCGTGCCTTTCCGTGCCCTACCGTGCCCTTCAGCGCCCTACCTTGCCCTACCTTGCATTGCGGTTGCGTTGTTCGTCTCCCCTTCCTTCTCAACGTCTCGCCACCTCCCGTAACCCAGTCCCGTCCTTTTCCCCCTTTCTCATTCCCATCAACCATTCTTTGAGGCGCATCAAAAATAGACTCCTCACGCATCTCGCCACCTCCCGTAACCCAGTCCCTTCCTTATCCCCCTTTCTCATTCCCATCAATCATTCCCCCCATTCCCCCCACTCCCCACTCCCCACTCCCCACTCCCCACTCCCCACTCCCCACTCCCCACTCCCCACTCCCTATTTTCCATTCCACGTTCTCCCCCCCCCCCCCTCCACCACCACCCCTCCCCATTCCCCATTCCCCAGCCCCTCGGCCCCTCAGGTTGCTCCGGCTGCTACGTAGAGTCAGAATTCTCTCCCCCTCTCTGCGCCATGCGCCGCATTGCCATGGCCTACCTGGCCGACCGCTCTGACTTTTGAGTCGACTCAAAAGTCAGGCCCCCCACCCCCCCCTCCCCATTCCCCATTCCCCAGCCCCTCGGCCCCTCAGGTTGCTCTGGCTGCTACATAGAGTCGGAATTCTCCCCCCCTCTATGCGCCATGCGCCGCATTGCCATGGCCTACCTGGCGGACCGCTCGGTGTCCTTCACCCTTGCCGCCCGCAACCCTGCGCACGTGCCCCAAGTCACCAAGTACTTTGACCCCCTCCGGTCGCCCGTTGTGCTCAAGGCCACCCAATCACGCGTCGCCACGTGTCAGCTTGAAGAGGAGGTGGAGGTGGAGGAGGGGGGGGAGGAGGGAGAGAGAAGAAAGGAGGTGGTGGTGATAGGGGAGGAGGAGGATGTGGTTGGGGGGGAGACGGTGAGGGAAGGTGGGGAGGTGATGGGTCAGGGGGGCGAGAGGAGGGACGGAGAAGGAAGGATGGCAAGGAGAGTGATGAGAGTCGTTCGGAAATTGGACGTGCCAGATGAGGTTCTCATGCGGTGCCATCAGCTGCAGGTGGGTTCAATGCGGTGCCATCAGCTGCAGGTGGGTTGTCGTTTTCTAGGCAATGTTGGTCTGGTGGCTTGGCAGTTTTACTTTCAGTTGAGTCGAACCCTGCTCCCTCCGACCCTCTCGCATACGAGGTGACTTTTGAGTCGACTCAGAAGTCGCTTCGACCATCTCTCGTACTCTCACTTGTCAGCTCTGTGCAATGCCAAGGGTTCCTTCCTACCTTTCACTCTGTGTGCCTTGTGATAGGAGTCTAGTTTTGAGGCGCCTCAAAACTAGCATCGCTACTTGATTCTGGTCTTCTCCTCGCCCCCCCACCACCGGGCGTGAGAGCAGTCCACTGCCAGCCTGGCTGCAGGCCAGTGGAAGTACCTCAGCTTTTGACTGTTACCACCTCCCTCCCTGCCCCTTTCCACTCTTTCAGCACTACCCCCACCCCCCCCCCCCCACCTTCCTCCCCCCCCCCCTCAACACCGCCCCTTCCGCATTCCCAGGCGTCGGAGCTCTTCTCTCTGAGCCTCGCGGGCGGGGTGATGGCGGTCAACAGCAGCGCCCTCGAGCCGCGCTTCATTGCCGCCCAGGCGGCCGCCAGGCGGTCGCCGCGGTTCCGCGTGCATGAGTCGGTGTGCGAGCGGCGTGAGATCCGGCCGTTCACCAAGCAGAAGTGGAGCATGTTCACCATGGTGGAAGGTGGGGGTCCATAAGGTGGGGGTCCATTAGGTGGGGGTCCATGTTCGCCATGGTGGAATGTGGGGGGCAGGCATGGTGGAATATTGGGGGTAGGCATGGTGGCAGGCCGGGAGGAGGAGGCATGGTTCCATGGTCCCCAGAGGAAAGTCATGCTTCTCTTGGTTCTGCTCCTCGCGCCCCCTCCCCTGGTGTTTTTGAGTCGACTCAAAAATCACCTGGTAGCACCTGGTGGCACCTGGTGGCACCTGGTGGCACCTGGTGGCACCTGGTGGCACCTGGTGGCACCTGGTGGCACCTGGTAGCACCTGGTAGCACATGGTAGCCCCAGGTGGCACCTGGGGAGGAGGAGGCATAGTGTGGTGGTCTCCAGGGGAAAGTCATCCTTCTACATAGCTTCCTCTCTTGCCTCTGCTCCTCGCCCCCTCCCCTCTTCACCCAAGCGCCCCAAAGCCAGAGGAGCCTAAGCTTGTGATCTGCGTGTGCCCAACTGCCTTCCTGCCGCCCCACCTTCCACTCCCCACCTTCCGCTCCTCACCTTCCCCCTCCCCACTCCCCCCCACCAGAGAAGCTGAAGCTGTTCATCTGCACCTTTTGAGTCGACTCAAAAGCATGTCGGCCAACTCATGGCTCATGTGGCTGCTTCCCTCCCGCCCCCACTCCCCCCCCCACCAGAGAAGCTAAAGCTATTCATCTGCACGGTCCCCAAGGTGGCGGCCAACTCGTGGCTCATGTGGCTGCGGGCCATGCTGGGGCAGCCGCACCCGGAGGACCCGCTGCTGGCGCTGGACGACGACCGCGCGGGCTGGCACATGCTGCACGTGCATTTCACCGAGCAGAGAGCGGTACGTGCATTGCACCGAGCAGAGGGTGGTACGTGTGGCTTGTCGCAACGTGCGTCCAGTCCAGTGGTCATCCCACTTCTCCCCCTGACCTTCCGCACTCTCGTCCCGCTCTCCTCCCTCCCCCACCCCTCTCTCCCCTCTTCCCTCCCCCTCTCCCCTCCCCTAGGTGCAACTGATGACCCGCCCTGACTTCTTCCGCCTCACCTTTGTGCGGAACCCCTTCTCTCACACTCACCGATGTCTCATCCCACTTCTCCCCCTGACCTTCCACACTCTCGTCCCGCTCTCCTCCCTCCCCCACCCCTCTCTCCCCTCTTCCCTCCCCCTCTCCCCTCCCCCCTCCCCCAGGTGCAGCTGATGACCCGCCCTGACTTCTTCCGCTTCACCTTTGTGCGGAACCCCTTGTGCTCTCCAATTCCTCATCCCACTTGTTCCCCTGACCCTACTCCCCCTTCCCCCTTCCCCCTCCCCCTTTCCCCCTCCCCCAGGTGCAGCTGATGACCCGCCCTGACTTCTTCCGCTTCACCTTTGTGCGCAACCCCTTCTCACGAGTGCTCTCCGCGTACAACAACAAGCTGGTCGTCACCGACGCGCCCGGCAACAAGACCGGCCCGGGCTCGCGCGAGTACTGGAACAATGTGTGTACTGTCCCTCCTTCCCCTTCCCGGCAACAAGACCAGCCGGGGTTGAAAGGAGTACTGGAACAATGTGTGTGAGCCTGAGCGCCTACCACCGTTGCTTGCTCCACCCTTGCTAGCTCCACCCGTGTGTACTGCCCTCCTCCTTCCTGTCCGGCATCACCGACGCGCCCGGCAACAAGACCAGCCAGGGCTGAAAGGAGTACTGGAACCATGTTGATGGCAGAGAGGAAGGGAGGGATGCGTTTGAGAGGGGTGCGGTGCGGTGATGGGCTTCATACAGCACCACATCAGCCCTTTCTCTTGTAGATGCCCCCTTCTCTTCCTAGTAGCCCCAGTCGCCCTTTTACGTAGCACACGGGGGAACATGCTTCTCCCCACTCCTCCCACCGCTTCTCCCCCCACTTCCTCCCCCACTTCTCCCCCCGCTTCTCCCCCACTTCTTCCCCCCCCCCCCCCCCACGTCTCCCCCGCTTCTCCCCCCACTCCCCCTCACTTCTCCCACCGCATCTCCAACCCTTCTCCTACCCCCTCCCTTGACCCCTCGCAGGCGTTTTTTCCGGCTGATTCGGCCGCAGTGGGAGGCGTTGAAGGGCGTGGACGACCTGGTGTCATTCCGGGACTTTGTGAAGCTGGTGGGCATGGTGTTCAGGGAGCGGCGGTGGAACATGGACCGCCACATTGCGCTACAGGTGAGGCACATGTGGTGAATGATATGATATGATATGATGCTCATGGGAGGGAGATGTGAGGACATGCAGGATGGTAGAGCATCAAGTCGGAGCATGGTAGAGGGTGGTGTTGAGGGAGAGGTGATGGTGCACGGAGTGGAGTGGAGCACGGGCGGACCTGCGCATATCACTGCAGGGTCAAGGAGGGATGCAGTGCGGGGGCGGCATGCAGCAACCCGCTGGCCCCAGTCTGCAGCAACCCGCTGGTGTCTGTATGCAGTCTGTATGCGCACTCTGGCGCATTAAGTGCAACCCAGTTGTGTCACGCAGAATTGACTTCTGAGTCGACTCAGACATCACCTTTATGCATGTTGTGGCTCATCACATGCCGTCCCGGAGTCATTCTTGAGAATTCTAACCAATGGCTCCACTGCAGTCTGTATGCGCGCTAGGGCTCATCAAGTGCCGCCTTGGTTGTGTCATGCATAAGAGTCTTAATGCATGTGTCTGCTCCCGCATGTCTGTATGGAGTCTGTATGCGTGTTGTGGCTCATCAAGTGCAGTCCCGGAGTCATTCTTGAGAGTTTTAACAAAATTGGCTCCAATGCAGTCCGTATGCACGCTAGGGCTCATCAAGTGCCGCCCCGGTTGTGTCATGCATAAGTGATTTTTGATTCGACTAAAGAATCACTTGTATGCGAGCAGGGGCTCATCAAGTGCCACTGCGGAGTTAAAAAAATGGCTCCACTGCAATCTGTACGTGCACTAGGGCTCATCAAGTGCAGCCCTGGTTGTGTCATACATAAGAGTCTTTATGCTTGTGTATGTTCCCCTGTCTGCATTTGTCTGCTCCCCTGTGTGCATGTGTGTGCTCCCATTCCCCCCCTGAGTGCAGAGAGATGTGTGTGCGCTGGACTGGATCAAGTACGACTTCGTGGGGCGGTTTGAGGACTCTAAAAAAACCACCTTCTCTGGAGAATTTTTAAAAACCACCTACTGTGCTCCCATGCCCCCCCTCTGTGCAGAGGGACGTGTGTGCGCTGGGACTGATCAAGTACGACTTTGTGGGGCGGTTTGAGAATCTGGAGGAGGACGCCAAGCATGTGGTGAACCGATTCGGAGGCAAGCATTTCGACATCTTCAGCTTGGGGCTCAACGCGCACCAGACCAAGTCTGACAAGAAGCTCGTCGAGACGTATGACAAGGTAAGCAATTCCCATGCCTATGCCCATGCCTCCTGTTTTTTTAGTCGACTCAAAAGGCTTCGACATCTTCAGCTTGGGATTCCGCGCAGCAGACCAAGCCGGACAAGAAGCTCGTGGAGATGTATGACAAGGTAAGCACACGCTCGCCCATGCGAAAAGATTTTTGAGTCGACTAAAAAAACACCAACCGATTCGGAGGCCGCTACCTCGACATCTTCAGCTTGGGGCGCACCAGACCAAGTCAACGTGCACCAGACCACGTCAGACAAGAAGCTCATGGAGATGTATGACAAGGTGAGCACACGCTCGCCCATGCCTCCTGTTTCTACACATGCTCCTTTTCCCTTGCATCCGCAATTGCAGCATCTTTTTGCGCAATCACTGCTCTGGTAACATGCTTGCCGTCTCTTGCATGCAAGTGCCAGCAATGCGTAGAACTGCCTCCTTGAGGAACGGTACGATAGCCAATTCTCTGTGTGCATGCTAAGTGCCATCTCTTGCATGCAAGTGCCAGTGTTGCGTATAACTGCCTCCTTGACAGACTGTGCGATGTACATTTTTCTCTGTGTGCCGTGCGCCCACTGCAGGAAACATACGAGATGGTGAAGAAGATATACGCACTGGACCTAGAAGTCCCCTTCAACAACATTTCCTACACGGCGCCCAAGCCTCTGTATGACCGGTTCGAGTCAAATGAAGTCTGAACCAGACAACCAACCAAGCATCTAACAATACGGTGATGCAGGGGGTGCCAACTGCTCAATGCAGCGGCCTTGGCACAGGCAGTGACCTCTCACCACCAGCACTTCAGCTTAGATTACAGTAGTGGAATGGATTGAATTAGTAACCAAATGAGCATGGCCAAATGAGCCGTGTGTTAGAATAGAATGCTAGAATGACTAGAATGAGAGAGTGCAAGGGAATATAGGCTAGTGTGTTGTACCCTTTTAAGGCCACAAACCTATATAGCCTATAATAACATAGTACTAAGTTATGTTTTGACACCGTCGCTCTTGTTTGTGTTCAGGCCGCTAGAATCTGCACATTGGTCTCTTGTTTAATTTGACTGAACAAGGTAACTTCCCTTGCTAACCAGGGTCCATTCCAGTCATCTGCTGAGGAGCGGTGGAGAAATCCATACTCCAGGGTGTCGGCAAGCTATCTTCCTTACCGTACCGATGCACATGTACACAGGAACTGATGCATGCTGCTGACGTATTGAAGCCCAGCCTGGCTGTACAGTACATGATACATCCGTATGAACAGATAGCATATAAACAGCAAACACAGCAACAGTTCCCAAGTACACTATAGGCGCATCAATCAAGCTCTCCTATCCCCTATCAACAGCCCATACACCACGGGGCATCACACCACCCAACTGTCGCCACTATTAACCGCATCGCCACACCCCCCAACATCCAAGTACCGCACCGCAGCATCCACAGCTCACTCAAATCTTCTCGGAGACCCTCCAGCTTCTGGCAGGCTCGCAGGTTCAGCTTCCTCAGCCGGGTCAGCCGTGCGAAGCCAGGAGGAAGTGCGCGGATCGCAACATCTTCAAAGGCGAACTTGTTGTGAGGCAAGCCAGCTGGGTTAGAGAATCTGGAATTCGTCCCAGGGCTTCACAGTTGCGTACCTCCAGCTTCCGCAGCCGCGATAACGCACCGATGCGGCCTGGGAGGGCGGTCGCCTTGGGAGCCCAGATCTCCAAGCAGGTTAGATGCTGGAGCGAGGTGATACTCGGTGGAAGCTCCAGCAGCCCCTCTACATGGAAAATCTCCAGCTTTCGCAGCTGGTGCAAGCCCGACGCGCTGTCTCTGGGGAACATTGTCATGTTCCCGCTGCCGTAGATCATCAAGAAGCGCAGCTGGGACAGATGGGTTAAGGGAAACGGAAGCTTCTCGCATCATGTGACAGCAGCAGCTCTAGGTGCATCAGCCGGGACAAGCTCGTGCTCACTGCCATTCCACACTCCGCACTAACCATGTTCAATCTCAAATCCGTGAGGTTGGGAAACCTAGAAACGTCTGGTGGTAACATTGTAACCTGGCTGTAACTCCCCAGCTTCAGGGCCTCGAGAAAAAGCGGCAGCTTTTTGAGGGCATCGCTCAGCGCATCACACTCTGTCAGCTCCAGCCACTTCAGTCTCCTGAGGCCGTTCAGCCACCTGGGTACCCGAGACAGCTCCTCACAATTCGTAACGGTCAGCATTTCAAGGTGGGTCAGCCGTGTGAGGGACTCCGGAAGCTCGGTGATATGGCAG